AGCTGGTAAGTAACAAGTGTTTGGTCTGAGGCTGGATTTGAACTCAGGTCCTCCTGACTTCAGGGCTGGTGCTCTATCCACTGCACCAACTAGCTGCCCCTATTAATGTTCTTATTAGCCAGAAGTATATGATATATGAATCCTGGGAAGATGTCAGGGAATGAAAGACTTCCCAGGTGTGGTTTTTACTTGCCATACCAAAAAAAAAAAAATACAGGTTAAAAAAGCCCCCAAATTCAGAAGGTGCAGTATCAACAAGATGAGCGAGAGAACTCTATACAAGGTAATTTTTGTGTGTGTGTGTGTGTGAGGCAATTGGGGCTAAGTGACTTACCCAGAGTCACACAGCTGGTAAGTTTTATGTGTCTGAGGTTGCATTTGAACTCTGGTCCCCCTGACTCCAGGGCCAGTGCTCTAACCACTGTGCCATCTAGCTGCCCCTATATAAGGCAATTCTTTCAGAAAAAAATAGCTGAAGACCAACTCACTACCTGGAAATTCCCATCTCTTCAATCATTCCTGACCTGGCCATCCTAATTCTACTCCACCTATGATCCTTTGACCCATCGCTGCTATGATTTTAGGTTCCTGCCTTTGAAGTTAGCTTTTTCATTTTTTGGGAGGGGAGTGTTGAGGGTGTTCTTACTTCCAGGATAAAGAGAAGCCAAATAAGCTTCCTATTTCCAATACTCCCAAACTCTCTAGTTCTTGCAACTAAGCCTATGATGTGTCCTAACAGGACATCCTGCTGTCAGGGCAAGTTGAGGCCCCTGAATCTGACCAGCCCTAAATCCTGAGAAGAAGGAAAGGGGGTGGCAGTGGACTAATACAGAACCTGAGGAAGTAGAGAAGGTAGAGACTAGAAATTCACTGTTGACTAAAAGAACTAATATAAAACAGGAGGAAAAAGATAGCCAAGAAGTCAGAAAGAATTTTGGAGAAAACAAGTGCAAAGTTTCTTATAAAATTTAATTTTATTATTTTCAAATTAACTAGCATTTATTTCCTCCCAACCCTACTTCTCTGATCAATTAAACAAAAAGAGAAAAAAAAAACATGTAACCAAAATACAAAGTCAAGTGAAACAAATTTCCTCAGTGGCCATATCCAAAAATCCAAGGGCAAAGCTTTCTCAGAGCACAACTCTTAGTTGTGTGGGATCACTAAATCTTACATAGGGATCCCCACGGGCTGCATAACAACTTAGAAAACAACATATTAACATTATCTATGTTTCATTGTATGTTTACTTATTTTGTTCAATATTTCCCAATTACATTTTAATCTGATTAAGGCCACATTAGGCAGCATATTTGACACCCGTAGAACCTGTGGAAAACCAAGAAGGCTGGAAGTAGTTAAAAAAAAAAAGCACAGGGTTGGCCCCATCTTATCAGTCATTTGAGGTGTCCCTGTAATAGTGTTTCAACTGGCTACTCTTGACCTCTGAGGCCAACAGACCTTGTTCAACTTTGGGCGAGGAGTCAGAAAGAAGAGGGAACTGGCAACAAGTGCTGGAGAAGGGACCAATTAGGGCTGGGACTTCTCGATGGAAGGGAATGATGACAAGCATATTTTCAGGAGACCTCACAGCAGAGAATTGAGTGAGACAAACAAAAGCTGACTGAGGAGAAGAAGGCTGTAAGCATTTGAAGAAAAGGTCCATCTCAGTGGACTGCTCAACAAAGGAAACCGAGGTTAGCACGACAAATTCTGCAAGGCCCCTGGGGGGGAAATTAAAGAAGCAACTCTAAGAACTTCCAGAATGGTTGAGAAGAGCAAAGAAATAAAGAAGATATTAAAGAAATAAGGCCAGAAATTAGACTTCTTAAAGGAAGAAATCACCAAGTCTAATTACAGACTAGAGAAGACACTTTGACAAGACCAGTCATGCATCTTTATATTATCTCTAACTGGGAGATGAGGTGTATCTGGGAAGATATGATGTAGATAGGGTAGAACATAGGCTCACGGGGTCAAAAGAAGAGTTAGGGTTATCATTAAAACAAATCAAAAGGGAAATGCAAGAAAGGAGATGAGGGGAAAAAAAAGGATCGAATTTTTCAGAATATGGTTATAAAACAATTCCCAATATATCATGATGCCCTATGTCAAGAACTAGTAGTCCTTGTAGTCTAGAGAATCCTCAAAGGTGGAAGGAATAAGAAAGGGGGTGGAGAGAAAACAATACTTTTTGGAAAGTGGCATTAATAATTAATATTACTGAGATAGAAGAATGGATGGGAAGGGAGGCTTAGGCACCTGAATGTTTATCTGAGGTGGGAAAGGAAAATGAGAAGAGAGAGAGAGAGAGACAGACAGACAGACAGACAGACAGAGACAGAGAGAGAGAGAGAGAGAGAAAGAGACAGAGAGACAGAGACAGAGAGAGACAGAGACAGAGTGAGACAGAGAGAGAGAGAGAAAGAGACACAGAGAGAGACAGAGAGACAGAGAGAGAGAGACAGAAAGAGACAGAGACAGAGAGAGAATGTGAATGAAAATAGGAATAAACCTAAGGAGTCTGGGTTTGGGCAGGATGAGCGGAGGGAGAAGGGAGCTGGGGTGGGGACCTGGAAGATGAGACTGTTATTAGATTTGTAGAAACAAATGGCAGTGCCTAAGTGCTGACTTGCAAGAGGAGGTAAATTTATATTATAAATCTATATCCACATAAATAGCTGATGGAAGTAAATACAAAAACACTTATAACCCTAAATGTGAGCAGAAATCAAACAATTATCAGAAATTACCACACATAATTACATAGAATTCAAAGGAAACTGATGAGGAGCAACAGAAACATAAAATACCCGAATTAACAAAACAAGAAAGAGATCTTAACTCAGTCTCAGAAAAAGAACTTCACAAACCACAAATCAATGGCCAAAAGGTGAAAAAAATCTCAGGTCAGTAAATTTACAAGTGAATTCTATTAAACATTTAAAGAGTAACTGATGCATATGCCACAAAAATTATTCTCAAAACAGACAGAAAGCACAATGCCAAATGCCTTTTACTGGACAATCATAGTTCTTATCCCCAAACAGGAGGGAAACAAAGCAGAGAAAGAGAACTGTATATCAATCTCACCACTGAATATTGATGCGAAAAAAGTTAAGGTAAAACAAAGATGCTTCCTCTCCCTACTACTATATGACATAGTTATACCAATGCAGATTATAGCAATAAGACAAGAGAACAAAGTAAAAAATTACAAACATCAACCAAAGGGATACACAATTATCTCTACTTACAATCAACACAGTGGTGTAATTAGAAAAACTTGGAAAACCAGTGAAGAAACTGAAATGATTGCTAGCAAGAGAGCAGGAGTGAAACGAAATGCATACTATCGCTGGAATTTCTGTATATTACAAAAATCAGAAAGAAACAATAAAAGCCATTCTATTCAAATAATTGTAAAATGCACAAAATATTTGAGTTAACTTACTATCACTCACACACAAGATTTATAGAAATGTACCTATTAAACACTCTTGACAGAAATATGAGGAGATTTAAATAATTGGAGAGATATTCAGTACTCACAGTTAGGCCATGCCAATACAATAAAAATGACAACACCGTCCAAACTTATTTACAGGTTTAGTGCTATACCAATGAAATTATCAAGGCTATACTTTTTAGAACTACATACAAATAACAGAATTCATTTGGAAGAACAGAAAATCTACAATCTCAAGAAAAATAATAAGAAGAAATTATTAGTGGAAGGGCATAGTATTACCAAATGTTATTTTATATTATGACGCAATGATCATTAAACCTAGTACTAATTTAAAAAAAGAAAAATTGAGCAGTGGAACAGACTGGATAAGCAAGAAATAGAAGTAACAAAAATTAGTAGTCCAGTGTTTGATAAACTCACAAACATAAATTACTGGAGGGAAGACTCCCTTTTGACAACAACTGCTGGGAAAACTGGAAAGCAGTTTGGCAGAAATTAGGATTAAACCAACATTTTATACCATATATCCCAATAAATTGAAACTGAGCATACAACTTAAATATAAACAGTCACACCATTAAAAAAAAGAAGAGAATGAGATCAAGTATCTTTCACCACTATGATTAGGGGAAGAATTCTTAACTAGAAAAGGATAGGAAAGATTATAAAAGACAAAGCAGACAGCCTCAGTTATGTAAAACATTCAACATGCTATCAAAGGCAGGGGGAAATGGATGGGCAAGTGGTTTCTTGTATTTTGCATCTGTTGGTTTAGGAAGACTAGATTTTACTCCTAGCCTCTGCCTCTAACTAGCTGTCAGTTCATCTGTAAAATGAGGGGGTTGTATTAGATAATCGTTAAGGTCTTTTCTAGCTATAAGATTCTGGTTTCCTTTAAAATACAAAAAACAATCAAACAAAAAAACCTCAAACAAACTCAAAACAATGCCAAGGCCATAGAAATGAAAAAAGATTAAAAAATAATGAAAAATAAAAAGTAACCCTTTTCTCTAAATTTTGGGCCATTCCCTTTGAAAGGGCCCCAAGACTCTGTATAAATGTTTCATTCACCAAGAATCAGCAATGAATAATCTTTGCATCAAAGGCTGAATACAAAACATAGAGAGTGTTTTACATATGTTGTGAGGAGTCGTTTCCCAAAATATCAAAGTCTGTAATGATCTCCTCAGATTGGAAATAAAATTAAAACAGTATCCCAAATGTAATGCTACAACCTACTAAAAGGTAAAAAGGAAAGTAATCATTTTAATATAAAAACTGGGAGAAAGAGCAAGTACATTTTCTTCTTTTGGACAAACAAAGGTGAACGATAAAAATGTCCTCATGTCTGAAGAACACATGATCACATCTAAGACTTGCTAGTTGGAATGGTACACTCTCGGTGGAGGGAATGCTAAAATTCCTTGGGGTGCCTTACAAAAAGTCTTCTACTTATAGATATCATGAGTTGACTAAGGAAGAGAGCAGGAAAGTGGGTGCCAAAAAAGCGTGATTAAATTATACTTACTTCAGTGACAGAGAATAGTCGTGCTTGCTCGTCTGGCTATTTCTTACAAGGTAGCTACACTCTTTACACAGCCGGAGTAGATTTTCGGCATCTGTTCTGCTGATTGCTCCGTGATACCATCTAAAACACATTTGGAAAAATAAACAAATTTATTTTCAAAATTGGATAATCTCACAAAGATGGACATTAAGAGATTCTCTTTTGCTGTGGGGTGACAGCTGTGACGCCATTACTTGGGGCTCATTACACAGAGCACTAATCAGTTGGAATGGGATTACAGCAAACTGTTAACGTGTTGTTGCCAAACAAATTTGGTATTAATTGGATAGCTGGGAATAGCGCTACCATTCATTTTTGTGGGATCAATAATACAAAAGGTGCCATAGATAACACATGAGGGAAAATGATGTCAGTTGGAGCAGAGATGGGGAACCATGTTTCTGTTGGAAGCAGAGGAGTACAATGAAAACGGGTTGGATTGGAGTCAGAGGGCCTGGATTTGTATCCACGCCCTTCTGATTACTACCAGTGGAAAATAAGGCATTTCATGTATCTTTGGACCTCAGTTTCCCCTTCTGTAAAAGCAGGGGTTTGAACTAGAGGATCACTAAAGTCTCTTCTATTTCTGAATCCTAGGACAGACACAGAAAAAACTTAATGGAAGGTGACATTCGTTTTTTTTTTTTTCAAAGAGAAAAATATAAAATATGTTAGTAATTTACTTTCAGAATGTTTATTTTTTTCCCTCCAAAATTTTATTTTATTTTATTTTTCATAATAAACACTTATTTTCCCTGGCTCACTCTCCCCCTTTTGAAAAATAAAAAATAAAAATAAATGTACTCACAATTCAGAGTAAGGAACAGAACATGAATTTTTAAAAATAAATACTTAAGTGCTAGTATCACACCTAGTTAAGGACGAGACAAGAGAGCAGGAGAGACAGACACATACTAAAACAAAGACACAAAGGGAGGGAAAGAACCATGGATGAGCAGATTAGCAGCTCTTAATTTTCCATCATACCTTTCCCCAGGAGAAGCTCATCACCTGAAATCTCATCATCATTCAGAGTGACTAAGCTTTTGTTACATTAATTCTTTTGAGAATTATCTATTTACATCCTTTAGCATCCACTTCCTGAGGAATGGTTCTTGTTCCAACTATATTTGAATCAACACTTTATATATCTTGGATATAGTTTGTTTGTGCCCGTACTTTTCAACTTTATGTAATCAAGATCATCCATTTTATCTCTTATGGTTTTATTCTAGCACCTGTGTATTCAAGAACTGATCTACATTCAGAGCTGTCAAAGGTTTTCCCTGTATTTTTTTTTTCCCAATAATGAGAAGACCTTTTAATCTAGTTCCTTTATCCACTTGGAGCTTGGTGTGGCACATGGTGTTAGTTGCTGGTCTAAACCTAGTTTCTAGCAGACTACATTCCTGTTTTCCCAGCTGTTTTGCTGAATAGTTGGTCTAAACTTATCCCAGTAGTAAGGGTCTTTGGGTTTGTAGAACACTAGACTATTATATTCAGTTGCTTCTGGATCTCCCATACCTAACCTATCCCAATGATCACCTTTCTATTTTTCTCAACAAGTATCAAATAGTTTTGACTACTATTGTTTTGTAGCATAGTTTGAGATCTGACATTGTGAGGCCTCCTTTCCCATTCTTTCTCTATTATTTCCCTTTAGATTCCTGACCATTTATTTCTTGAATTTAGTGTTTTTTTTTTTTCCTAGTTCTATAAAGTACTGCTTTGGTAGTTTGATTAGCATGGCACTGATTCTGTAAATTAGGTGGTGTCATTTTTGTTATATTGGCATGGTCCAAGCATGTTAAATTAATATCTTTCCAATTATTTTATTGTCTTCATTTTTGTAGTACTGTTTGTTTTTTTAGTTTAATTCATACAACTCTGTATGTCTTGGTAAGCGTACTCTCAAATATTTTAAACATGTAGTAGCTGTTTTGAGTGGAACTCTCCCCCCCTCCATGAAGTTAAGCAGTTTTTGAGGGAAAAGAACACTGGGCCTGCAATCAGGAAGAGTTGGGTTCAAATTCCACATCATACACTTCCTAGCTGTCTGACCTTGGGCAAATTATTTGACCTCTTTTTTCCTCAGTTTCTTCATCTGTACAATGAGGGGGTTGGATCTGATGACCTCTAAGGTCTAAATCTTGGATCCTTAGATAAGTAGTCTAAAAAAAAATCACAGAATCTCAGAGTTGAAGGGACCTCAGAAGGGCAACAAGGACCCCTTTACAACATACCAGAAAAGTGGCCACTTGGCTTTTATCCAAAGACTTCCAAGTGGAGGTATTCATTCATCTAATCAACAAACATTTATTAATTTTATGCTACGCACTTTGCTAGTCAATAGGGATACAAAAAAAAAATTTCAAACAGTCCCTGCCCTCAAGAAGCTTACATTCTACTGGGGAGAAACAACAAATATATGGATAAATCGATACCAAATACATATGGGAAAGAGTGAGAGAGAAACATTAGTTGAGAAGAGACTGAGCATCAAGAGATAGGACTGTCTAAGGTGCTGGACAGTTCTGCTGAACTGTTCAAGCTAGAGCAGTATTAGGAGTTGGAGACAGAACATTTAGGTGGCTGAGGAAACAGAAACACACTAGAAACAAGAGAATAAGAATACAGAATTTCCAGAGCAAAGCATGAAGACTTTGGATAAATAAAAAGCTAGATCAGCATGATTGGTCAACTACATGCAGAAACAGAGAAAACAGAAAAAAAAATTGGCAAAGTTGTGCAAAACTGGACTCTCTGCATGTTTATACCTTCATAACATACTCATGATTATAGTCAATGAATGAAGATTCAAGAGGCTGGTGCAAAGGTATACTACCGACAACTTAAAAGAAGGAATGGCATGAGATATTGAAGAAATTATTGTACAACTGCATTAAAAAATCGTTTATTTCTGCCTAGTGAGGTGTTTATATCACAGTACTTTTGTATACAGGGCAACCTATATCATGGTTACAAGGTTTTAGCTAGCTAGCTGTGTGACCTTGGGCAAAACATGTGGCATTTACAATGCATTATAAGGTTTGCAAGAGCAGCTAGGTGGCACAGTGGAAGAGCTGGGCATAGAGTCAGGAAGACTCACCTTCCTAAGTTCAAATCTGGCCTCAGATGCTTATTAGCTGTGTGACCCTGGACAAGTCATTTAACCTTATTTTCCTTAGTTACTTATCAGTAAAATGAGCTGGAGAAGGAAATGGCAAACTGCTCCAGTATCTTTACCAAGAAAACCCCAAATGGGGTCATGAAGAGTTGGACATGACTGAAAAACGCTGAATAAAAAAGGTTTGCGAAGTGCTCTATAAATATTATCTCATTTTATCCTCACAATAATGCTGGGAGGGAGGAGTTATTATTAACCCCACTTTATAGATGAGAAAACTATGGCAAATAGAAGCTAAGTGACTTGCCCAGAGTCACACAGCTAATAAGCATCTGAGGCAGGATTTGAACTCAGGTCTTCTTGACTCCATGTCCAGTGCTCTATCCACTGTGCTACCTGGCTGGATGATTTATAAAGTCATAGGCTCACAGATCCAGAGTTGGAAGGGACTTCAGAAGTCATCTAATCTAACCCTTTCATTTTACAGATGAGGAAACCGAGGCCCAGGTAGGTTAAATGACTCGCCTGAAGTCACACTGTAAGAATCAGAAGTAGGCTCTGAACCTATGTCTTCGAGCTATAGTGCTCTTTCCTCCATACTATGCAATCTATGCTTTTAAGATCACATTATTACTCAACCTGAGAAATACAGACAGAAAGAATAGATAAAAACTAGACACAGCTGTGATTAGAGAGAAGGCGCCTATGTGTCCATCTGATGGTATACTCATGGGATCTGTTCTCTCTCACCGATGTGGATTGTGATGCTGAAGGTACCCTTAAGCTATCTACACTTTCTCATTCAGCAGGCTCATCCATATTTTCCCAGAAATTCTCAAAGAACCTATTTATACAAAAATATTTATAGCAGCTCTTTTTGTGCTGGCAAAATTGAAGGAATGCCCAACAATTGGGGAAATGGCCAAATAAGTTGTGGCATATGACTATAATGGAATATTAGTGTGCTATAAGAAATGACAAGTAGGATGATTTCAGAAAAACCTGGAAAGACTTATACGAACTGATGCAGAGTGAACTGAGCAGATCCAGGAATCTATAGTCTTTACACATCTCAGACAATTGTGTGGTTGTAAAGATGTAGTTTGCTATAGAAGATAATTTTCTTGTTCATAAAGATTTTGTGATGGGAAAGTAGGCTCTTGGGTTGGTAATGATGGCTAACTCTTGGGAAGTCATAATAAAGTTTGACTTTTTTTCCCCAAGTACTTTGTATCACCCCCTCTTTAAGGTATGTTGGGAATCCATCCTTCCGCACCTTCACATGTGGGTTACCTACAGAATGGAACTCTGCTGTGTATATCTTTGGTCAAGGCCAGCTGGTCTTCCCATCTGTGTTTCCGTCAGTGCCATTTTTATTTCCTCATGGAGCACGACGGGGAGCTTAATAGTAAGAGTGAACACGTCTGGCAGCTTCACTGCCAGTGAGGAAGGAAAGTGCTCGCTACAGAAATCTTGACAGATAACTTCCCATTTTCTGTCTGTTCGTCATTTTCCAGTTTCATCCTTAAATCTGCTTCAGACGATTTGGCTTAATTGGATGTCTTGCCAAGTTTTCTGCAAACTTGTTTCTCTTCACTGCTTTTCAGTTTTATGAGGTGATGTAAGATTTTACAAACAAGTTTATATTCTAGAATGGTGCTGTCCTCGGCTGCCATATCTGCTTGGCGAGGAGCTTAAGTTTGCTGGTATAAGCGTCAGATTTTTCAAAATTTTGCTCCAAACTGTTATTAATATTCAAATGAGTAATTACTAATAACAGTGGACATCATAGATCTGGAACTGGAGGGGTCTCAGAGGTCATCTAATCTAAAGCCCATTATTTTACAGATAAGGATCCAAGGTCCAGGGAGGCAAAGCAAATTATTTAAGGTCACAAAATTTGAAAGCATCAAAGGCAGGATTTGAACCTAAGTCCTCTAAAACTTTTGAGAGT